GGTGATGGGAAACCCATGGGGATTACAATTGAGATGAAAAAAAAATGTACAAAATGATGTAAAAATAAACTATTATATTATAAAAAAAGAAGAAGAAAATGTAGACAATGAAAGAAAGGCAAAAAAATAAAAATCAACTCAAGAAGAAATTGAGTCTTAAGGAAAGTGCTAAAGACAATCATCTTTTCAATTTCTTACCCTACTAAAGAAACAGTCTGCAGAACATACTCTTTCAATCAACAATTCACGGAATGGATTCCTAAGGATCTTATTGATATAATGTGTTTTTCTGCCTATAAACTGAAGCTATGATTGATATTTAAGAGCTTAGTTATATAAATATCAATTTCTTATCTTTATAACTTTCTTTTAAAAATTACAGATATTTCCACCCTCCCTGGTGTTGCAGCGAGCAGGTTAAAGCAAGCACTAAGAAGCTACAGCCACTTCAGGATGAGTTTGATCCCCACCCTGGAGGTGATCCACATGGCGCAGCAGACCTCTCCTGACCCACCTGCTGCTCCCCTCAGCAATGTACTTCATCCATCAGCCTGTTCTGCTCCCCACTCTGTCTCTGGTGAATCCTCTCACCACCCCTGAGCCTCTGGCCTGTATCCCAGTTCTGTATGCATAAATAAATATATCTTTAAAAGAAGAATTACAGATATTCCACGCTCATTGTAGAAAAATCAGAAAATATAAATAAGCAAAGAAAATCCATCCTAATTGCAAAGGTACCAAAGAAATTAATACATATTAATCTTTCAGTAATAGGTTAAACTTACAGAATTTATTTATATTGAAAAGGCAAGTTTACTGAAATACCCTTAAGGGAGCAAGGGGCAAGATGGGAAATCCATGTCTGTACCCAAATTGAAATGTATCTATGAGGTTGCTGTTACCCTAGGACAGCCCTAATACTAATTTATATTAATGTTCTCCCTTACTTTTATTTTTAAATTGGATTGTTTCCACTAAACAAATGAAATGATGCTAATTCTGAGGTTTCAAGAAATAAACTACTCCCTCTCATACCCTACACAGAAATCCACTTTCTATTCTAGACTTTTATTATGTTAGAGTTGATACCAATACAATACCTATCAAAGAACCATTTCTTCAGAAATAGAAAAGCAATTCCTTAAATTCAGCCCTGCAAAGGAACCTGAGAGTCAAAACAATCTTGAAAAAGATGAAGTTAGAGGATTCACACTTTCCAACTTTGAAACTGAGCTCATAGCTGTAGACATTAAAACAGTACGTTGCTGCCATAAGAGACACATAAGTCAATGTAATATAACAGAGATTCCAGAAGTAAGTCCTCATATATGTGGCCAATTGATTTTTTTAAGTTTTTTCTTTTTATTTATGCATATAAGAACTAGGGTGTAGGCCAGAGGTGGGGGAGGTTAGAGGATTCACCAGAGACAGAATGGAGATCAGAACAGGTAGATTAACTGCAATACATTGCTGAGGGGAGCAGTGGGTAGTGGTCTGCTGCACCATGTGGGTTAGCTCCTGGCTGGGAATTGAACTGATGGCAATGAAGCTTAACCCCTGCACAACCAGGGAGGCCCCTATATGGCCAACTGATTTTTCATAAGAATGCCAAGACCATTCAAGGGGGGGGGGGGGAGGACAGAGTTTTCAGCAAAGAGTGCTGGGAAAATCAAATTTCCACTTGCTAATGAATGAAGTCAGAGCCTCACCTTATACCATATATAAAAATAATCTTTAAAAAAATCAGAGATCTGAGGCCCTCCCTGGTGGCGTAGCGGGTTAAAGCATAGCACTAAGAAGCTAAAGCCACTTCCACATGAGTTCCATTCCCACCTGCCCCGGAGGTGACCACATGGTGTGGCAGACCTCTCCTGACCTGCCCGCTGCTCCTCTCAGCAGTGTACTTTGTTGATCTGCCTGTTCTGTTCCCCACTCTGTCTCTACTGAAGTCTTTCGCCATCCCTGAGTCTCTGGTCTGTACCCCTGAGTCTCTGGCTTGTACCCCTGTATCTGTATGCACAAATAAATAAATCTTTAAAAAAATAAAATAAAAATAAATTTTTAAAAAATCAGAGATCTAAACATAAGAGCTAAACAGTTAGAAGACGGCAATGGGAAAAATCTTCATGGCCCTACATTTGGCATAATCTTCATGACCATGACATTGAAAGTATAATCAACAAAAGATGAAATTTAAAAATAGACTTTATCAAACTTAAGCACTTCTATGTTATCACAGGACACTGGTCAAGAAAGTAATAAAACAACCTACCAAATGGAGAAAATATTTGCAAATCATATACCTAACAAACAACTAATACCTAGACTATATTTTAAAATTCCCACAGTTCAACAACAAACAATTCAACTCAAAATCAGGCAAAGGTCTTAAACAGATATTCTCCAAAGAGGATATACAAGTGGCTAATAAGTACATGAAACAATACTGACCATCATTGGCCATTAGGGAAATGCAAGTCAAAACCACAAAGAATGCCACTTCACACCTACTCGTGGCTATAGTCCAAAAAATGGACTATGAACAAAAAAGGATACCATTTCACATGTATTAAGATGGTTGTACTCAAAACACACACACACACACATTAACCAGGATATAGAGAAACAAGAATCTTCACATGTTGCTGGTATGAGTGTAAAGTGATACTGCCCTGTGGAAAATGGTTTGATTTTTTCAAAAGTTATCTATAGAACTGACAGTTAACCAATTCCACTCATTTGGATATATAATAACTCAAAACAAGGACTAGAACAGATATCTGTGATTACACTTATATCAGCTACCTAAAATAGGCAAACTCAAAGAGGGAACCCAGAATACAGGTTATCAGGTGAAGGTAGGAGAAAGGAGAACTTTTTAATGGGACAGAGTTTATGTGGGGATGATGAAAAAGTTCTGACTAAAAATAATGGTGCTGGACACTGCATTTAACGCCACTGAACTGTGTACTTACCTATGATGAAAATGACAAATATCATTTCACAATCATTTTCACCACAATTCAAAGAAAAATTTCAGAAATACCAGGTGATTTACTCCAAGTCATATGACAGTAAAAGAAAAGCCCAAACTCAGTCTTAATTTTTTAAATTTCCATGACAACAGAAAACATATAGCATATTAATTGCTCAGCTGTAAAACAAAATCTAATTGCCTTGACTTCCTAGACTCTCTACAGAAGCCCATCTTCTAAGATGAATCAAAAGGAAAAGAAATCTACTTTTGACATGAAATCTCCACTACCATCGGATACTCTCTAGCTTCTGCCTTTAATGCAGTGCTGTCATAATTAAACAAGCAGGCTCTGAGGTACATAATCAGATTATATCCTGGCTCCATTATTAACTGTGTGACCTTAGGCAGTGGGCCCATTTCCTCCTCTGTGAGATGGGAATAACAGTTTTGTCCTAAAGTTGTTTAATCAAATTAATTTACACATGAAAGCAGGCAGAATAGACCTTGGCCCAAAACAGGGCCTCCCTAGTGGTGCAAGGGATTAAGTCTCAGCACTATGAAGCTCTCTGCAGCCTCTGAAGCATGAGTTCAATCCCCGACCAGGAAGATGACCTATTCATTGGCCAGGGAGCTGACCCACCTGGCACAGCAGACCTTTCCTGTCTCGCCCGCTGCTCCCCTCAGCAGTGTTCTGTCTGTTCTGCTCCCCACTCTGTCTCTGGTGAATCTTCTCAGTCTCTGGTGAATCTTCTCATCCCCCACACCTCTGGCTTATACCCCAGCTCTTGTATGTATAAATAAATAAAATAAATCTTAAAAAAAAAAAAAACAGAAGGTTTCTGCCTTTCCCTTCCTTTCCTTGTCCTCTTCCTCCTCTTCTTTTTCTTCTTCATCATCAACCTTTTTATTATTCCCAAGGTTTTGTAAATTACCTGTGAAACTGTCATCTCCATGTTACTTTGCCCACTGCAAAGCCAGACATCTCCAAATAAGACATCATGAACTTTCAGGGTGGAGTTTATTCTGTGGAAACTCTGTTGTGCCATCAATTCAAATGGTCCACCAGGCTTCATAGGATCTAATACCACCATCCAGATACCTGAGTGTGCTGAAATCATAACAAGATTCAGAAGAATTAATCAACAAATTAATAAATAAAATTACAACCCAATGCAGTCAGACATCATACTCATTTGTGGTTATCCCCACCCTCTGTGACAGGATGAAGTCAAGCTATGACAACTGGAGGGCTTCAGACAAGTAAATAGAAACAAGGAAAGCAGAAGCATTTTTCTCCTTAATCTGCATCAACCCCTCCTTACTTTTAACCAAAGAAAAACAAATTGCCTAGTTACAATCCTAAATGAAACTAGACCAAAATACACAAAGATGAAAATTCAAGGTAGTTTAATCAAAAACATAAAATAGACATTCTTATTGCTGTCGAAATGTCAATATTAATGGAATACAACAGATTTATACAAGTGCCCCCACTAACTTATAATTATCCAACCTCATGTGAGCATAAATTAGTTAGAGAAAATAATTTACAATCTGAAACCTCCCCTTACTGATGGTACCATCCTTGTCATGGGTCCCCCGGCCCTCTCACACTACTACTAAAGACTGATACTACCTGGCTCTGGGTTTGTCTGGCAACAGTTGTGGGGAAGAAAAACTGACAGGTAAAGAAGTAGCCAGAGGCTCTAAATTAATCTCTCTGTGAAGATATTGAGGCCTTCCCAATTAATTATTTTCACAGTTATTTAGCAGATTTAAAGCTTCTAGGTCTCAATTGGATGAAAAGCTATCTAAGACCCTATTTCAGAAATCCAAAGCATATTCCTTAGGAACCACCCCCCCACCACCTTCCTACCTCTCACCCACTCACCCCACCACCGCTGCCAACATCATACTCGGAAACTTAAAGAAAATATCTTGAAAATGGTAAAATTATCCCTAGAAGAACCAAACAACATGAACAAAGTTGGAAAAAAATGAGGGAAAATAGATTAAATAAATACAGAAATAATCTTTTTAAAATAAATATTCTTGGCATAATGCCAAAGGATACAAAATGATTTATAATGTATGTTCATCAGATTAATGTAAATTCAAAGGGAAAGAGCAGTTAGAACTAGAAATGGATCATCCTGAAGTCATTAAACCAACCTATAAAAAAATAATAAATATAAAGATGTTGTCCGAGTGGCTACTATGTCTAGACACTGTGCTAAGCTCTTTCTAATCAGCAAGAGAGATACAGAAGCCTGACAAGCCCACATGCATCACAGCAGCTCAGCTGAGAAAGGCCTGCTCAGAGCCTCAGGAGAGAAGGCCAAAGGCCCCAGGGGTCAGAGAACAGGTGTGTGCTTGTTCCTCTCAAAGGCATCCCAAAGAGGTCAGTGAAGCCCAGGATCAAATGTTCACTATTGTTTTTATACCATCAATAGCCAGACATCAACATATTAAGTGTATAATTCACCTAAAGCAGAAAAATCACTGTTTTGGAAACAGTGGGCAGTTCGGTACAGATGGAGCCGCACAGGTGTGATGTGCTCCGTCTGGCTCACACTTCTGAGCAGGCAGACACTGCAATCTGTCCCAAATACAGCCTTGCCAAGGTCTTTCCAGGCTTCTTGTACTGACATCTCTTACTGGAGCTCTGTCCTTCTGCCATCAGCATTACTCATTGATGATGAACAGGATAACCCCCAGAAGACCTAGGAAATCACTGTATTTTAAGCTTCTACTACTAAACTATTCCTAGTCAGTGCTAGTAATTAAGTATTCACACTCAGCCTGAGTCCTCACAATATGGCTGGTGAAGAAAACTCCCTTCACTTCCACTGTTGCTGAAGTTTTGCCGCCCTAATGCCTATGGAAGGAGGGGTGATATTTGGACAAAACATGGCAATGCCATCTTACTACAGCCAGAGATGGAGCGCCCCACAGGACAGAAAGACTCTAAGGGAACCAGGCATCCAGACATGGCCTTATGTCCAAGAATTTACTCTTCCAAGGAAACTGCTCAACTTCCTCAAAGACCTTCCTTCTGTGCTAGTCCTCAAATTCTTTTCATTTCTGTTTTCCTCTCCCACTTGATAAAAGAAAAATGAACTCTGACACAATAATGAGTGTTAAGTGAAATTAACTGCCAGGCAAGGCAAAGGAAATCAAATCTCCTATAAAGAGGTTACTGAAGTCTACTCAGAAGCGACCGTGTAAAGTAATGCATACGTACTCCTCTGTGAGGCTTGCAGGGGAGAGTAGCTCCTGTGAAGACTGTTCCTCAGACTGAAGGCGAGAGTGAAAGTGTACAGGCAAAACCCACCACATTTCGTAAGGAGAAAAGCCATATTTCATAAGGAGACCTGATCAGGCCGGGGCTGTCAGTGAGGGGTGGCTGGCTACCATTGAGCTCACCGCCACTGACAAAATCCAGGTAGAGTTTTTAAACACTGTGTTGCCCACCAAGTCCATTATACTGAGTCCAAATAAAATTGAGTCACTGACCACAGACAGTTGAGCTGTTGCACCCAGCAGGGCTCTTCAGCAGTAAGTGCTCTGGTTCCTCTTTTCTGTAATTACTTGCTAACTTGTGACATCCTCTACCAAGACAGACCCACATTTTCTTAAATTCTTATTTTGCTCGCATACAAATCTTTGCTTCCCCGGAGAGTTACTCAGTCCTGCTGGGTCTCTCCCATGTATACAGGGAATACATATTTTATTATTAAGCTTTTATCTGCTTGTCCTCTTAAAAAACAAAATCTCGGCTTCCTGACATTCATTCTTCTCCCACCTAGGAAGACTCATTCCCTTCCTTCATGATACAGTTATCTTGTGTACTTAGCATGAGCCTGCCACTTCAAGTAAATGGCAGGAAATAACCCCAGTCCTGGCTTCTACTGACAAGAAAATCATGCAAACTGACTAGAGCTTTGTGATTTCATGTCTAAGGGCGAGCATATCTGGTGCTCTATTCCTTCTGGTTCCTCTTCTCTATCTCCTTTTCCTCCCCATCTTCCTGACTAATACCCACCTCAAAATGGGAAGAACAAATAAAAGGAAACACTGAAAACAATTTGTCTAGAGGCATGATTAGTCATAATGTGCTTTCTTGCCTTTTTTTCTTTCTGCTATTCACATCAAATGTTAATTATTTTTCAGGTTATTGTGCCAATTCTCAGATACCAAGAAGAAGAAAAAGGAAAATCAACCACAACCTTTCCCTTCCCAAAAGGAAAAACCTAGAGCTGGGAGAAGCAACTCTACTCACTTTTGCCTTACACAAACCAGCTCAAATTAATTCAGTGATTTGTGAAAATAACTTGGAGATAAAGAACTGTCCTAACTGCCCTTTCCTGACCTGCTTTGCATTTTACATAAAATCCATCTGCACCGCCAACAATTATGAATGCAAGGAAAAAACCTTAAGTATTTTTCTATCAATAAAACTGCTTATGCAAGTTACTTAAGCAGCTGCATGCTAAGATAGAGACACCCTAAGGTAACCCCCATTAAGTCAAGTGTATAATCCCCTCCTTTCAAGTTCATGCAGAATCTTGATTTGCTTCCAGCCAACAGAAAATGGCAAAGGGGAAGTGAAGTCACCCTTATTAGCTATGTTGTATGACAAAGACTAAGGAATTCTGCAGGTGTAATTAAAGGCTCTAACTAATTGACTTTAATAAGGGGAGGTGACCCTTGGAGGGCTTGACCTAGTAAGGGGGCCTTTTAGGAGAGTGCAAAGATTTGATTTAAGAGGGTCAGAGATTTAATGTGGCAGAGATGGTGCCATGAACTCTAGAGGCAAACGGAGAATCTGGCAGAAACCCAAATTGCAGCAGGGTGGTGCCCAGGAAAAGGGGAGATTTCAGGTTCCCTGCCCACCCAGAAGGAGGGTGGACCTATGCAGGGAAGAGAAGAATCTGGAGAGGAGACTGAAGAGGAAGGAAGCAGGCTGGAGAGCCAGAAGGTGACCTGAGGAAGGCACATGGAACAGACATATGAAGAAGCTTTTTCTTGTTTCTTGGTCCTGCACTGTTTGAAACAGATGTGCGTGAGAGGCTTGTGCAGAGGTCAACCATGGCAGCATTTATCTTGATTTCGATTTTGCTCTTCTCCTCCCAGACTTGTCTGGCCATTTCTGATCTTTTTCTATGGTTCTCCTCCAGAAGGTGCTTTAGGCTTGTGGTGGGCTTTCAGGCCTTGCTTTCAGCCTACCCCTTTTGGGTAGACTTTTACCCACGAGGGAATGGGTAACTTCAGGTGTTTGATTTAGAAACTATATTCTTTGTCTTTTCTGTATTGCACACTGATTGTATTAAAGTTCCTTTCCATTAAAGGTATTATATATTTTGTCTTGATGTGGCAGATAGCAGAACCTTTATAAAGCAGGTAGGTTTGGGGGTTCAGCCGTGTCCCTCTCCCTGCCCTGTAACAAAAAGGAGCTTGAAAAACGGATCATTCCCTAGTCAAGCTGCCAGATGAGAACTCGATTCAGCCTTGATTCTTGAGCCTTGTGAACCCAGCAAGAACCCAGCCTAGTGACTGCCAAGCTTCCGACCTGCAGGAATTGTGAGACAGTAAAAGCTTATTGTTTTACAACCCAAATGCCCAAAAGTAGATGAGTGGATTAAAAATATGTGGTACATATATACACAATGGAATATTACTCAGCAACCAAAAAAAAAAAAAGCACATGCTTTTTGCAGCAACATGGATGGAGCTGGAAAAGATTGTAATTAGTGAACTAAGCCAGAAAGAAAAGGAAAAATACCAGATGGTTTTACTCATAGCAGGAGTATAAAGGACCAGGGGAGAAAATAATAATAATGAACAACTATATACCAGAGACATTTTACAGGTAGAATGGGTAGAATGGGGAATGGGATCTAAAAGGGGGGGGGGGTGTGCACTGGACTGTGGTGATGGTACAGGGTGATTTGGTGATGAGAAGCCATGGGGATTACAACTGAGATGGAAAAAGGCACAACATGATGTGAAAATAAACTACTGTATTTTTTTTTTAAGTTTATTGCTTTAAACACCTGCGTTCATGGAGACTTATCTAGCATTAAAAATCAGTGAACATGCTATCGCTGCAACCAGTTTTACTTTCCTACGTGGTTTTGTACTTTCATATTTCCTGGATTAGAGAAAATAAATTTACTTCAATCTTGATAACAAATATTACCAATCTTCCTCAGGTTTTAATTTTCCCAATGTGTGTTGGCCTGCTGGACAAAAACCTCTAAGTTGTTAAATTCTACTTTGTAATGGGCACTTAAGCGATTACAGATGATAAGTTAAATGGTTTATAGAGGTAGACAAAGTAGGAAAGTGAGATAATCTAACTGAAAAATCCCAGAGGCCTCATCAACATTTAACATAAAAGTCAACCCTTCTATATTTCCTGCAGCATCTCCTTTGAGAAGTATTTTTTTATTCTTCCCTATGAATTTCTCACATGTGTGCTGCCTTTCTTTCAAAACACTGCATTCATTTTGTTTCATGGGCAAGACTAAGCAAGACGTTCACTGCAGTGCAGGTGTAGATCTATATAAACTGAAATGCCTGTCTTCTCTACCAAGCAAAGGAGGAAATCTAGTAATAAACCTTCCCCACCACCACCAGTGACAATCACTTTTTCCTGGGAAATTAGCATCAATACTGAGCTCTCAAATGGTATTTATAAAATTGAGCTTAAGGCAAGTAAAAAGGTTCACCATCACTATAAAGGAAAAGAGGCTCATTCCCTAATTATTACCTTTTTTTCCTTCTCATCATCTCCTGTCTCACCTCTGGCCACTCCAAATGTTAGTCCTGAAGCAGGAATGGTGGGCTGGACAGAGGGAGGATAACTAAAAATAATGCACATAATGCTTTTTATAACTGAAATGCTCTGTAGTATTCACGCTTTCTGTACCTATCTCTCCAGGACTAAGTAGGCTCCACCTCTCCCTTATTGGTAATGTCATTTATTAGCATCCAGGAAATGCTATTTCTTATTTTTAAATACCAGCATTCTTTGGGGTTTTTTAGTTGATATCATTTACTGAGAGTAGCACTATTTCTACTCTGTGTTGCTCATTTCTAAGATGGACACCACAGAGAAAGAAAGCACTGTTAGTCTCTTGAATTCTTCAGTATATCCTGTAAGAACATTCAAGTCATTCACTCCTCAAACCAACAACTCTCACATTAGCTCTGCCAACCCCAGCACAGCCTCCTTACCTGTCTAAGTCTCACCTCTACACCTCAGGGTCATACAGCTACCTCTAACTATTTTACAATCAGGTCTGCATTTGACCCACCCTTCAGCCACCTCTCCTGTACCCAGCCACTTCCAGCTTTGCTAGGCACACACTACTTTATACATCTTTACATCTGTTAGATAGAGAAGGACCTCTGTGTTCATAAAGGCTGTTAATTCTCACTTTTTAAAAAGCCTCACAGCCACTAACTTGAATCAAGTTTTGTGTGTCTATTACATGAACATCAAATAGCCCACTAATAAACCCCACCACCTCTAACCTCCAATCCCTCTTTCACAGTGTTGCCAGAGCCATCTTTCTAAAATGCAAATCTGACTGTATTATAATGCTGCTGGATATCCACCAATCCAAAAGAAAATACACTCCCTAGCAATGACAAACAAGCCTCCCTATATTTCCTGTCCTCCACCATCAGTCATGAATCTCAGAGGTGCAGACAAGCCAATCTGCTTGCCACTTCTCCACCGACCCATGCCCATTCATGCCTTCCAAGCCTTTGCCAGAGGCTGTTCCCTCTGCCTGGTCTGTCCTGGTCATCCTTCAAGAGGAGCCTTAGATTAAGAACCCTGCTAAGGCCCTCCCTGGTGGCACAGCGGGTTAGAGCACAGCACTAAGAAGCTGAAGCCACTTCTGCATGAGTTTGATCCCCGCCTACCCTGGAGGTGAACCACATGGCGCGGCAGACCTCTCCTGACCCGCCCGCTGCTCCCCTCAGCAGTGTACTTCGTCAGTCGGCCTGTTCTGCTCCCCACTTTGTCTCTGGTGAATCCTCTCACCGCCCCTGCACTTCTGGCCTATACCCCAGTTCTGTATGCATAAATAAATAAATCTTTAAAAAAAAAAAAAAAGAACCCTGCTAAGCACTCCCACTACACCCCACACTTCCCCTGTGGAACTAATTGGATTGTGGAATTGTGGCACTAGTCACACTTAATTTTAACTGTTATCCTTCTGTGTCCACCACCTATAAGCTTCATAAGGGGAGAGACCCCATCTGTTTTGCTCATCGCTGTATCTTTCATGGAATCTAGCACATAATAGGCACTCAATAAATACTGGAGGGACTGATGAAGCAAATCATAATAACGGTAACCATAACAACAGCTAACAGTTAACACTTGTACCTACTGTCTGCAGGGCCTTGCTCTAAGTTCTTTACAAGTGCTAATGTATTTAGTCCTCACAGAATACCCAATGCTATTATTATCTGTGACACAGAGATGTTAAATAACGTCCAAGGTGATTTAACACTGAGTGTTGGAGTCAGGACCTAAAGCAGACAATAAATTGCACAGGGAGGTTCTTAAACCACTCCTCCACACTGCCTCTGCTTTCTGTATGATGCAGCTCAAATGTCACCTTCTGTGGAAACCTTTCCCACACCAACCAATCTGAGTTAAATGTTTGTCTTCTGTACTCCACACACCACATATACTTTCCTTGTAGCATTTATCCCACTGCAGCATATGTGACTGAATAGTCACAACATAAGAGATTTGGTGTCTATTTCCATTATTTCTGAGCTCTTGAGCACAGGGACTTTGACTCTGTCTTATTTTGCTTTGTACTTTCAATGCCTAGCATAGGTAAATATGCAAATCACTGCTATGGATGGATAGCTGGATGAGTATAGCACAAGCATCCATTTTCAGACAATCCAGCAGATGGCAGAAGACGACAAATGGCTGAAGAGAGGATAGGCTGCCTTACCATTTACAGTGGTCACTTTGTTCATGATGGTTTCCTGGTCCTGGTCCAGGGTCACTGTCACCGTGGCTCCAGGCATGCCATAGCCCCAAATCACTGCCCCCGCAGGCTCCTTCTGCAGCACCATGTAGTTATTGATGTATGAAGCAAAGTGAAAACCAGCACCTATAAAATTTGCCAAACATATAGAAGAGCATCACTGGGGGGATTCAAGGATTTATCCTAGTTAAACAGCAAAGTTCCTATAGTCTTTAAACAGGAGAGTTTGGAGAGACCCAGACCTCTGAGTCTTCTAATATGAGATCTACTCCTCTGTATGACCTAAGCAAAGTAACAAGAATGATTTTAAAAAAAAATGCACCAAGATGAACAACAAGGAAAGCTCAAAGATTCCAGGCAACCCAGTGCCACAAGCCCTTGGTCTTTCTGGGCTCTCAAACATGGCGTTCAGGCTGGTCTCTATCCTCCCAGCTCAATGAAATTCTCTTTTTAGGCACCCCACAAATGGCATTTATGAGAAAAATTAACCACTTCCTTTCTCTCTTTTTCACTAAGCCACACCCACTTGTTACAGACAGAAATCAAGAAACTTGCGTCTCTCCCACACCTTCTCTAGCCTTCCTCCCGCCCCCAACCCTGTCCCAACCTATCAGTGTCAATTTCCCTCAAATAATGCCCCTGACTGTGGCTTTTTGACAACCCACTGAAAATTCTAAGCAAGCATTTATAAATATCTGTACCAAATCCGATAAATTAAGATGCAAAAAAACAAGGCCACAATATTTGAACAAAGGTCTTTCATAGCCCTCTTACCCATTTCCCAAGCTAAAGTACAGGAGAAAAAGAAGAGGAAGAGCCCTTGAAACTGTTGTGGAGTCACTAACAAGTCTGAATAAGGACTCACTTTAACGAGACGGTTCCTATTTTTAACATCCATGGATATGGAAGTATTTTATTAATAACAAGCTTCTATCCAAATTGTCTGTGAGTATCTCATCAAAGCTTACAAGGAGAAACAAACAACTTCTTAAATTGCATCCCAATTAGTTGAACAAAGCAGGCTAAAAGTCCTTGGAGAAAATAATTGCCAAAATTAAGATTTTTTTAAAGGGTTTGTAACAAAAATGATAGGCAGGAAAGGGAATCAAAAGTAACAAGGGTGACATTTTCCTCCCTGGAAGCTACAAATGATGGTGGCCCAAGGCTATACTTAGCCAGGCAGCACAGCTAATGAGTCTCCCACAGACTCAGTGGCCTATTTGTCCTGCACTTTGAATAACAGCCCAGTCCCTGAGCATCCTCAACTCTCTCATGAGTTACTCCATCATGAAAACCTACATGAACCAGGCCTCCTGGGCTGGAGATTCACAGCTACCACAAGCAAAATGCTCTAAAGACTCCAACACCCCAGAATTGCATAAGCACATTGGCAGCCTGCAGGAGGGAAGGAAAGAGGCATATGCGTGGGAAGGCCTTGTCTTGGGCAGGTGCTTCAAATGGTGCGAAAATTGAAACGAAAGGCTCCGGAATGAAGTAGAGAAGGAAGGCCTGGGGCCTGGAATGAAGAGTTGGCAGGCACTTGCATAAGGACCCCTGTAAACTAAAGGAAATATCTCACAGCCTGGGGGGGAAATACCTTCTTAAGACAATCTATTTTACCTTCGCTGATGCTCTTTGTACACATTTTCATTCTGAGTTAAAGAATGTTACAGGTGCAATGGAGGATTGTTCACACTCTGGAGCATAATAATCATTTACTGACTGGCAGACTGAGACCCAAGTAGATTAAGTAACTTTTAAAAATAGCTTGCATATTTTAATTAATTCAACAAATATCTATTGATGCCTACTATGTTCCAGGCACTATTTTAAGTACAGAAGATATAACTGTGAAAGAAAAAGGAAAAACAACGGACAAAGGGCCTTGCCAGCAGGGACCTTGCATTCTACTAGAAGCTGACAGTGGCAAATGCTGGACTGGACATACTAATAGGCACTAAACTTCCTTGGCCTGAGATTACATAGATAGTTTATGACAGATAGAAACTATGACAGCTGATTTCAAAGTTGCTTCAGTTTCTATTCTGCCACAATTAGAGAACTGTGTAAAGCAAAGAAAAACCATTTTCCTTGTCCTTCTGATAAAGCTCACATTCTAAACTGGTAAGAGTAAACAGTGGAACATTAGAAAAGAGCTTTTTTTTGGGGGGGGGGCCTTTCAGATCCAATGTTTCCTTCATTTGGGTACTGGAGTAGAAAAATGGGAATAGTGTTCTGGGGAAGTGAAAAGTCATCTTTAAAAATAGACTATCAAAATTAGTCCAGTGGTCACTGATGGGAGCTTATAGTAAAAACATTTAGATAGAAGGTCTCACAAGGACTAAAACCAGAAGTAGGGGTAGAGACGATGAACCAATTGTTAAACTAGTTAGTTAAGGGATTTCCCAGGAAGTGGAGGTATGAGTAGAAGGGATTATCAGTTACAGAAAATAACTCAATCAGACCCCAAATCAAAAAAAAGAATCCACAGAGGAATGAGCCACAATGAACACCATGAAAGATCACCATATGCTCTGGCAAAATGCAGCGCTCTCTGGCAGCCTTTATCTATGCAGGTGACTCTTTCTTTCTCCTTTCTCTGTTTCCTAATAAACTTTTAAAGTGCAGCTTTGCCTGTTTCTGTCTATGAAAACACCATTTCCTCAAAAAAACTCACTGTGTGCCACTAACAGGGAACTCTGTCAAATCTTTCTCAGAGGGACCCAAGAACCCCCAAACATCAAACCCAAAATCTGAGCTGCAGCAGTTGCCTCTGGAGAGGAACTGGGAGGAACATCAGGGAGTAGTTTTCAACAAAAAGACCAATGTTCTAATTTGTTGGACGGCCTGTGGTATTTATTTTATTGTTTCACTTCTACATACATTTTGTCAAATATTAGATGATAAACTGGAGGGTGAAGGAGATAGTTCCAAGGAAAAAATATCAAAATATGCATTAAAAGGGCCCTCCCTGGTACTGCAGAGGGTGAAAGCACAGCACTAAGAAGCTAAAGCCACTTCAGCATGAGTTCGAATTCTGCCTGGGAGGTGATCCACATGGCATGGCAGACCTCTCCTGACCCGCCCACTGCTCCCCTCAATCTTCCTATTCTGCTCCCCACTGTCCCTGGTGAATCCTCTCACCTCCCCTGCACCTCTGGCCTGTACCCCAGTTCTGTATGCATGAATACATTTTTTAAAAGTATATAATAAAGGGCCCTCCCTAGTGGCGCAGCGGGTTAAAGCACAGCACTGAGAAGCTTAAGCCACTTCTGCATGAGTTCGATTCCCACCAGCTCCAGAGGTGACCACATGGCGTGGCAGACCTCTCCTGACCCGCCCGCTGCTCCCCTCAGCAGTGTACTTCTGCCTGTTCTGCTCCCCACTCTGTCCCTGGTGAATCCTCACCCTCCGCATCTCTGGCCTGTACCCCAGTTCTGTATAAGTAAATAAATAAATCTTAAAAAAATAAAAAATAAAAAAGTATGTAATAAAATAAGATAGATAATTTAGAAAATTAATGAAAGAAAAATATCCTTGATAAAGATGGTGGCCCAAAGCAAAGATAAAATAACAATATTAAGGTTAACTTTTAACAGAAAAACTGATTTTAAAAATGCGTTGCATGGTTCTTTAAATTTCTCTGCACCTCATTAACTGTACTGAAAGGTCACTGATTGTGGATGAGAGGCAGGAAATCATTTGCAGAGTGCTGCTAGTTTACACTTGGTCTGATGCTGCATTAATGTGAATTTCTTGGCCAGAACAGCAGTCACTTTTCTGCACGCCATTCTCCCACCTCAACTTCCATTTCTTAATAGAGATCTTTGAAGTCCACTGTTGGAGTAGTTTGAAAGGGAAAAACAGTTGGCCTAACATCACTTTATGTTGCATGGGTAGGCAGATTCCACGTCCTGCTTTCTCCGTGGCTGTGATCCAATGTCCAGTCTGAGGTATGAAATGACAGGATTCCACTTCCATGAAGTGAGTCAGCTCTTTCCTATGCCATACATATTATCCCATCACTAGTATCTGTAAGTTGCACCAGAAAGCAAAGCTGAGTCTTAAATATTCTGAGCTAGTGAGGAGGCTGTATTTCTTAGCCCTAATCACCACTTAAACTAGAAGGATTTAATTCTCCCAAGAAACCCTGCCTGAAGCAAACCCTCCCCAAGGGTACCACTGAGGGGGAAGCATTAAAATGTTTCGATGACTCAGTCACCTGTTTCCAAACTGTAGTTAACTAGCTACGCCCCCTCCCCTTCGAGGTCCCAGCAGTTGTTCAAAGACTGTAAGGGCCAGGGCCCGGGCACACCTGGACCGGCCATCCCCATACCCAGGTAAAATGAATCTCTCTGTGCCCCACATGCTACAAGGAGGAAATGGAAGAAGAGGAAGAAACGCAACTCCCGCCCAGCAAACACCCGCAGCCGAGGTCAGGAGGGGAGAACTCTCTTGCTGGCCGAGGCTCCCACCCCGGCCTTGAAAGGGGGGCGCCGGTTGGGGCACCTGAAGAGAACTGGGGTCTCCGTGCCAGCACAGGCTGCGGGAGAGGGTCTGGCCGGGCCGCCTCACCTGCACTTCTTTCGGCCCGCAGGATTAATGGCAGCACCAGCCCAAAGATAAATCCCGGCGCGTTCATGTTTGCGAGGATCCACTCCAGCGTTGGACTTCTGAAAAGGACACTTGGGTGGGGGCGGGGCCACGGGCGGGGATTGAGTGGGGCCGCTACGGCTTGACTCCGCCCACCTCGGGGCCGTTCAATCCGCGAGGCCACGCCTCCCCCTTCTCGGCCGCCGTAGTTGAAGAAAAAAACGGTTACCCAGCAACGAGCAAAAACAACCTGAACCATCGGCACCAGCTTTGAGAAAACGAGGAGGTGAGGCGGTTTCCCCTATTTCCTCTCCAAAACCGAAACCTTTCCCCTTCGCCTCTAGTTTTCCCTCAGGATTCCCTACGCACCCTAGGAACCCTCGGGAAGATTGAGAGCCAATTCAGCCCATTCTGAGAGCCTGAAATCCCGGGTCCTCGACGTCCAGTAGCCGACTAGCCCTTTATTCCGGCTTTTCACAGCCTTAGGATGATATCTCATCTTCTGTGCCCTCAAAAAAAAAAAAAAAAAGGAAAAGAAAAAATCCCCCGCAGATTGGGTCTCTTTAAACCGTCTAGTTCCACCACCACACCCGCCCCCCCACGTAGGTCCTCACCACTGTTTCCACCATTATTCGGCATTAACCCTCTCACATATACACAAATTAATAAGCATTCTCAAGAGCCCAAACCACTGTTTGTCAGTTATTTTAATAGAGTCTTTGTATTCGTAGACAGGGGGAGAAGACGTGGTCAAGACAAAACCTGAGGGGAAAAGTATCCCCAAACTTTGGAGGCTAGTATTGCAAAACCAGGACTTTATCCCTCCCCCCACCAACCCCTCACCCTCACTTCTGGCCCGCCACTCCCTCTGCCTTCCCAGAGTATTTAGGGGCAGTGAGGTCATGCTTCAGAAGTACAAACTAACAAAAACTAAGTGAGACGACTTCTTCTAACAAATTAATTTCTAGAACCAGGATTAGTGCCCACCTTTTTTTTTTTTTTTACACCCTAAAGAGGGTCTTCTCAGCTATTTATTATGACGTTTGAACAAGCGTTCTCTCCAAATTACCTATACGTTAGCAAAAATTACCCTCATCTCTTAAAGACAGAGAGGGACAGAGAAAAAGTACTTAGTATTAGTTTAAAAATCTTATTTTTGTAATGTTACAAAATGATTTGACCTATGAAATGGGTCGTTAAATGTAAAGATTCTAATAATGATAAATTCAAAACTCCAAAAGAAGTGGATGGACCTGGACTATGTTGGGGGGGGGGGGCGGGGAGAATTGAAAATCCAGAGAATTTGGGTTTTAGAAACAATGTGTTGTCATAGTGGTGATTATATAGGCAAAAATCAGACAAGTTTAAAGACAGTACCTCTTTAATGAATCTCTAGGTAAAATAGTCAGTTACTTCCAAGGAGATGTCGATTCCATTCTCCAACACCCAATACCGAATTCCACAAGGATTTGGAAATCTTCTTGAAGGGCTGACACGCGAGATTCTGAGGGAACAACCGAACAATATACCAGCTTTTGCAGCAGCATATTTTGAGAATCTTCTAGAGAAAAGAGAGAGTAAGCTTTTTTAAATAGACAATTTTTTTAATAAGAGATCAAGCATTGTTATTGTGACTCTTAAGACTTCTTATTCCACAGAAAGCTTTTATGAGAGCTGTAGTTTCAAATAACAATTTTTACTATTTGAAACGTGTGTTTTTAACAGGTTTCTTAAATCATGTTATTTCAGATTTTTGAAGGTTGCCAGTTTATTGCCTACATCTTTTTTATTGTATTTCTCATGAACACACTGGTATATGGGAACCTCAGGAGATCATCTTCTGGATCTCAGTTTTCATCATGCTGTTCCTATGCCTCCCAGAGACTTGCCTATCTATTCTTCCTGGGAGGAGAATTTGTGTTTTTTTCTATATTTTGAGTCTTCACACTTAAAAGTATTGTAAGTGTTGGAAAAAATAATCCTACACTCCTAACAGTAAATTAATTAGTATTTACTGGAGAACATAAACTTTATATTAAAGGCAGAGAAAACTTGCTTTGAAAAATAAACTTCCAACCTGGGAAAGTAATTTATGTTCGTTCTCTACATTTCCAAGGTCCCATCTTTCCCATATACTAAGATTTCATGCTTACAGTGACAATTTGACTGAGAGCCAGAATAATTTCTTCATTTTATATACACAATTTCCAAACCTCCAGCCTTAAATAATCATGACTATCAAGACCTGACCCAGTGTCAAAGTGGAAATTAATAGTTTTAAGTTTTTACAAAAAAAACTATTCTGACTAGAACAACAATATTGTATAAGCTGCCATCATTTTAGATTATGGTGAATTAACAGTGATAAAGGTGATTAGAAAAAACCACAAACATCCATACTAAACCACAAGCTTAGAAATGAAACAAACCCCTTACACACTGCACAGCTACACCCCCGTGTCTTTGTTAAGTTGTTGTTCAACCTTGGCAGAGCACAAACCTCTACTAATTCCTTGAATATTGCTGGTCTTTTCCAGATCTGATTAAGTGTGAATATTTGTTGCACAACCTGCAACTTAATTGCCACAAAAAAGTTATTACAAGAACTCTTAATAGGGCAAGAGGTGGATTGTAATGAACATTAATTTTATCATAACATTAATTTTACAAAGTCATGCAGTAAAGGTTTCATCATTTAATTTTAGAACTCAAAACATCCTATGACAAAAACAACTTGAGTCGTTGGCAATTTAAATTAATGGTCTTAGAACACAATCCCCCTAGTTAAAAAATAAATTGTGTAAATCTATTTGAAAATATTTTAAATACCACACCCATTTCCATTCATGTGAATAGGTGATTTGCTGCCAACTGACATAGTTATCAAAATTCAGTGTATCATAAAGGAAAGGAAAGGAAAAGCCCTCTTGCCCACGCTTTCATGAAAACCAAGAATTCCCTTATCAGAACTCTCCATAGGTAATTACTAATCTGAATTTTGATTTTTTGTGACAGGAAATGTGTTAGAATATGACATAAATGGTATCTTGAATAACTAGGGAAAAGAAGATGAGCTTTTTATTGAATGATATTGAGATGAATGAAAGAAGATAAAAATGGATCAACTATTTACATCATACAATAGGATAAGTTCCAAGATTAGAGATTTAAATAGTTTTTTTTAAAAAAAAAAAACATACAAATACTACAAAAAAGCACAAATGGATTTCTCTATAACCAGAGGTAAAAATTGCCAAGTTTTTTAAGTTACTTTAAAATTCAAAAATGGAGGCCCTCCCTGGTGGCGCAGCGGGTTAAAGCACAGCACAGCACTGAGAAGCTAAAGCCATTTCCGCATGAGTTCAATTCCCGCCTGCACCGGAGGTGACCACATGGCGCGGCAGACCTCTCCTGACCTGCCCGCTGCTCCCCTCAGCAATGTACTTCCTCTATCTGCCTGTTCTGCTACCCACTCTGTCTCTGGTGAAGCCTCTCGCTGCCCCTGAGCCTGTGACCTGTACCCCAGTTCTGTATGAACAAATAAATAAAATCTTAAAAAAAAAATCCAAAAATGGGCCCTCCCTGGTGGCGCAGTGGCACAACACTAAGAAGCTGAAACCACTTCTGCATGAGTTAGATTCCCGCCTGCCCTGGAGGTGACCACATGGAGAGGCAGACCTCTCCTGACCTGCCCGTTGCTCCCCTCAGCAGTGTACTTCCTCTATCTGCATGTTCTGCTCCCCGCTCTGTCTCTAGTGAAGCCTCTCACCGCTCCTGAGCCTCTGGCCTGTACCCCAGTTCTGTATGAATAAATAAATCTTAAAAAAAAAAAATCCAAAAATGGAAAATACTGATAAAATTGACAACATAAACGTAAACTTTTACATGTCAAGGTCCCCATAAGGAAAATAAAACTACAAATGATAAACTGAGAAAAAATATTTACAATGTTTAGCACAACAAGTTAATAAACCTAACAAAGAGCTTGTAAGAGCAGTGAATGAAAAAAGCAACCTCATAAAAAATGAGCAAGAGATAAACATTTCACACAGAAATAAATCCAAATGGCTTTAACATGTGAAAACATACTCAAAGTAACTCATAAAGATAGAAACTCATTTCAGACCTATTGTGGGGTAGCACCACTGACCACAATCATTTTGCCTTGCAAAAAGTAAAAAATTTACCAATTTATTCAAACAGCTAGAAGGGAAATAAGCACTTGTAGATTTTGCCAGAAAAGATACAAAATGATGCAACCCCAAAGAGGGGGTAACAAGGAGGTTCTTGGCAGTATCTATCAAAATTACATGTATATAACCCCTTATTCCATAAATTCCACTACTTTTAACTACATTGTTTGAGGAAACAACCCATCAGAGGGAACATACCGAAAAACTAAAGAACACAATAAAATGATATACAGTTGTGAAAAAACGAAGGTCTCTATATGATGCAATGTAGTGATGTTCAGGATATATTAAGTAAAGTAAGGTTGGGGAGAAAAGTGTGTTTAATATGACATAATTACCTAACTGTTATTAATATGCATACATAACTGTTATTTTATAATTTTTAAGTGGAAGTATAAATATTTTAAAACTGTTACCTCCAGGAGAAGAAGGAACAGAAGCTAAACTGCTCTGAATATATTCTGAATTCAAAATCATAAATGTTTAGCATAGTTATAAAATAGAATTAAATTTTTAAATCATTAAACAAATTCTAAAATTTAGAAGCAAAGTGCAACAAATGAACCTAGCTAGTAGTGAATGGAGAGTACAATAACACAAAAAAGAGTTATTTCAAGTGACTTTATAACACAGTAATTTACTGTACAATCCTGGTAGAAACAGCCTAAAAGCAAAATGAAGTTTGTTTTTTTTTAAATCTTACATTGTTTTCAGTAATTAATAATATATAATATTGTTGCTCTGAAATTATGTTTAATATAGTGTAGGACATGGCAAGTAACTAACCTGCCATTAAGAATAAGATTTTTTGTTCAGAAAAATAACACTCATATTAAAATGAAAGAAGTTAATATAATCCTACAATCCTAAATTGAATTTGAAAATATCACTAGGGCCATGTGATATAGTTCCTTTCTTTAAAATGAGTGAAATATTTCCTAACTGTCTAGTTTTTAAAAGACCCCAAAGACCAACTCAGTACCAGTAAACACCTGTTCCCTAGACTATGACCACTAGTTCCTAAATATCTTACTTCACCAGAAAATAAGGAAGTTTTCAAAGATTACTAGAATTGCTTCCAAATAACTCAGGAGCATTTGAGCATCTGAATGATTTTGGCCGATTTTGGACAATTAGAGCATCAATAAGAATAATAAATACAATGGATAGAAACTCATCCAATTTCTTAAGTATTCAAAGTTCATAATGTTAAAATGAAAGCTAATTAGTGTTTTATTCTTGAGAGAATTCTAGGGGAACTAAACATTTATTCTGAAAATGTTAAAAGGAGAAATCAAATCTTTAATCTGCCTTTTCTTTATGATCTGTATTGCAGGGTAATCAAATAATGAGATTATTTGTTTTTTCAGTACTCCAGAAATAAAGAAATAATGATCAAATTACATTTTGCATCCGCTCGAGGTATTATATAAGCAGTTATCATCAATGAACCCATAAAAATAATAAAATGAGGGGCTCTCCCTGGTGTAACCGGTTAAAGCACCTCATTATGAAGCTCTCTGAGGCCACTGCAGTGCAAGCTGATCCCTCCACCCCCAAGGAAGTGACTCACATGGTGTGGCAGACCTCTCTGAGCCCACCCGCTGCTCTCCTCAGCAGTATATTTTAGTTCATCTGCCTGTTCTATTTCTCTGTTTCTGCTGAATCCTCTTACCCACCATACCTCTAGCCTATACCCCAGTTCTGTAAAAATAAATTTTTAAAAATCTTTTAAAAAAATTAAATGAGAAATAACCAGTTCTTGTGTAATCTGAAAGAATTACTTTAGACTAACTCTAAGATACATTTGTCCCACCACCTCCAAAAAAAAATCAACCCTGAGTCAAATCTTGCTATCAGTCTACAGGAAATTCAAAAGACACAGGAACTTGTTTCAAATCATCATGGGAATGGAATCAGAAATACCTAAACTGTGGAAAACTCCAAAGGAAAAATGACCCAGTTATGTCAACAAGTAAATGGCAAGGGGAAAATACAGGGTATGAGATAGGGAAATTTCATTTAAAAGATTTCAAAAACAGGGCCAAAAGGCTGAGTATGCCCATTACTTGGGTTCATATTTTGAGCAAACGAACAATAAAATAGTAATAATAATAATATATTAGACAATGGCGGAACTGTGGATAGCTGGTGGTTTTAAGGAATTGTTAGTGTTTTGAGGTGAGATGATATTTATGGATTTACAACTTAGAAATACATACTGAAGTAAACAGTGGGTAAAACAATAGATGCCTGGTATTAGCTTGAAAATAATCAGAAGGATGGGAATGTAAGTGAGGTTACAGAGAAAATACGATAAATTTTGAGTTTGTAATTGTTGATTTGAATAACAAGCACATGAAAATCAATTACATTATTCTCTTTACTTTCTAAGTTTTAAGTTCTTAAAACATTAAAGAAAAATTCTGTTTAAAATCTTCCTGTATGTAACAACTATTTTTTCTTTAACAAAATCCTCTACCATCCTTCTCATTTCCAGACTTCCTTCCTATTAGCATTTATTTTTACACATTTTTTGTGTTTCCTAATACATGTTTATAAGTTTCTATACATATATTAAGTACTTCTCTTCCCTTCCATTTTTTAATAAGTACTATTATAAAGGTAAAAATTGTGTGCTTTTTTTTTTACTGCCTTTTAAATATCCCCAAGGTCTCATCTAATGTATATTCGTCATCATACATGCAATGACCACCAGTTATGTCTACAGTGCTAGGCTATAAATATCAATAAGAGTTTCAACTGTCAGTAAAGATGCTGTGGTTTGAAAAGGAAAGCTGGTTTTATGTATTTTAATCTCAAAGTAAATTTGAAACTATTTTATTTTATTATTTAGAAACCAGCTTTGATCCAGCAGAATGGGGGAGTAAGGTGGATGACCGCTTCTATAACAACCATGCATTCAAGGTATGGTCCTGTGAAAGCAATTGAATTTAGCTGTTTCTTCCATCTCCAAAACAAATATTAGGGATCTCCCCAGAATCATGAGAACTGGGAGAGACGTCACAAATATCTTATTAAACCTTTTTAATTGTAATGTTCTTGCTTATAGCCATCAAGCTTGATTTTAAAGATAATCAACAGGAAGAATATACTGGAAAGTTGCAGAATAATTACTCTGTCAGTTACTACTCAGATTTTATTGGGTATTAAGGTGTTCAGCATTAGCAGATACTTAGTAAATACTTGTTGAACTAGTGAATAATATTTCTTTTAAAAAATTCATCCACTTATTTCATTACCCATTGTCATCTTACAAAGACTGGTTAGAATTTAAAAAGGTAATGGTATAGAGTTTTCTCTTTAAAGTTAATCTGTTCAGACACTAAAACTATATTCCTCTTTACCAGCACTCACAAAACCAATCTTTATCAACAAAGATTCCCAGGCAAAGGTACCCATGTTTGTAGGAAATCATTGTTTCTCCTTGTTATGTTAGAATGATCCTAATTAAGTACCATCATTGGGAGAAATGAGAAAATACATACTGATAAATTCTGTGTTCTGTGGGCCAGATGAGGAACACTGATTGAGAAGGACTGCGTGGGATCCAGGATCCTTGGCATCAACAGAGAGCTTGATAGAAATTCAGCCTTATCCCAGGCTTGCAAATCACATGCTAAATTTTTTAAAAACCCCACAGTAGCTTGTAGGTACACTAAAGTCTGAGAAAAACGACTATAGACATCTGAGAATAATACAGTAGTCACAAAGCACTAAAAGATATTAGAATCAAAAGTAATTGGCAAGGTTCAAGTTTTGAGGTATTCTGCAGTAGCTTGCCTATTTGTTCTCTTCCTTCTCCCCAGGAGCAAGAACCACCTGAGAAAAGTGAACCTGAAAAAGAAAAATCTGAGCAAGAGGAGACATCAGTCACAAAATTGGTAAGTTACATTGGATGCCTTCAAAAAATGATGTTACTCGATTTAAATTTGTACTCTAAATACATATCTGTTCTGTTATTAATATTGCTAAAGTTGTGATTTTTCTTCTAAATAACTAGAATGGTAGATCATTTTTAGCCAAGCCTCTTAAAAAGGAAAACTCAATTTTCTCATCAAAAATAAGATCTCAGTTTTTCAGATCTGTCAGTGAATGGAAAAACAGAACTCACAGCCCTTGTCTGATCCTTCGTTTCATCTACCATTTTGGGGATTTACCATTTTGATAGCATCACTAATTGATGCTATCACTGCCACACAATGGCAATGATTCAGAGATTAAAAAAGGAAACTCACAGGGAATGAATTACACACAACCAAATAAAATGGCTTTATGCTATGTGTCTTATTCACCTTCCATGCCCTGTCCTCTACAGAAATGACTTCCTACCTAATACCCTACATCAAAACAGTAAGGACCTAGGTCTACGCTCAGAGATAACCTGTGTTAAATGACAGGCTAAACCAACTCTGAAGAAATGATTGTACACATCTGCACACAGCCCTTTATCAGTCGTGTCACTTTGATAGCTTGAAATAAACCAGTGAAAATATTTTAAGACCATGGCAAATTCTAGATATGAAGACTTTTTTATTTTTTCTGAAAAAAAGTTGAACATTTCACTTGACATTGTTAAACATGTAGTAATCATTCGCCAGCATTTCACCATCTATATCCTTCATAGTCTAGACTCAAGAGGACCAGCCCTAGTGAGAAAGAACTGTTCTTTCTGTTCTTCTGCTGAAGGCCAAAACTTCTTAGTTCCTTTTCATGTCTTAATTTCCCAGTTAGTTACCCAATAGTTAGCAGTCAAAATGGACATCCCCTCAAGGACTACTTTATTTCCTACAGGGTGGGCTATAACTGTCTCCTTTATAAGTTTCCCTTTATAGCCCTTCTAAGTTATTTCAGAATTATATCAATACAACTCAATCAGCCTAACATTGGTATAAGATACAGTGGGACATCAGAGAAGAGGAAAGAGTGTCATTTTATCTAATAGGTACCTTCACACACACTTTCACACATTTGAATTGAGAGTCCATGGTTTCTGACTTCAACATAATTCATTTGCCCATGTTGAGACATCATCTCAGAGAATTTTATACCATTCTGTTTGCATGTAAAAGTGTAAGAGCTAGATCTGCCTCACTATTTGTAATGGAGGAAACAAGGCTTAGACACCCCAAAAGTCCAAGTAAATAAAAGACTAAGTAAATAAATTAAAATGCATTGGTACAATGGATAAAATGGTATCATAAAAAAAGACAGAGTTATATATACTGAATAATAATATAGTGAAAGAAAACCAAGATACACAGTTAATGGAAAAAGTGACTGCCAAATGTTATTATAACATGATGTCACTTTTTAAAATTAAAAAAAAAATGGAAAGCTATATATACTCAACCCACAATAATAGTTATCTCTTAGACATAGGATTTGGGGGGAAAAAAATACATTCCCTATCAGTGATACCAAAGTGTGTAAATATATACATATCACTTTTATAATTTCAAAATATATAAGTTATATATGTATTTGTTGAATTATACACTTATTTATACATTTCATTGTAAATTATGCCAAAAAAATTTTTTAAAGGAAACTGAAAGTTCAACTGACAGTGTTAAAGCTGAAACTCTTCAACTAACTAGATTTCTTTTTGGCAATCTAAATGTGTGATTTTGATTAGTTAATCATTGAGAAATTAAGAAGTTTAGACTTTTATCAATTTTATGTAATCATGACTATTTTGAAACAGCACATTTACTTTCCTTCTTGACATTTTACCACTTGTCAAAGACTTAATTATTTTCCCCCATAAAAAAATATTATTGCACAGAAAACTTAAATAAGACCTATTTTGAGGGAGATTGACAATGATCTTTTATTACAAAAACATTAAAGTAAGGCAAAACAAAATGCCTGCTATTTTTGGCATTCACCGCTGGGTACAAAATTACATGACAGTATATAAAATGTGTTTAGGAAGCAACAGATCACAAATGTTTCATCCCAAATGATTCAATTTATGCACCAATTTTTAAGATGTCAGAATATGGGGTAAGAACTTTCTTGTTTTTTTCCGTTCCATGAAGCAGACTCCCGAAGATCTAGAAAAAGAGGAGAATGCTGCTATCACAATCCAAGCAGCCTTCCGTGGACACAAAGCCAGAAAGGCAGTGAAGATAATAAAATCGGAAAATTTGGAAAAAGAGAAAATAAAGGAAGAAAAGGAGGATGAGTGAGGAAGACACGTGGCTTAACCCCCACCAAAAAAAACAGGCAAATATCATCCAAATCCATCAACCTGTTGTAATTGCCGTCTTTTCCTTACTGAGGGAGATTTGATGTAGTGTAATAACATTTGTTGCTGTTGTGAAAATCTGTCGTGAGCATTTGTTTAATAAACATGCCATTGAACACATGCCTCTCGAAGATGTCTCTGAGATCGTAAATTTATGTTGCGACAGGAACTTTGTTGCCGCTTTGGGGCGGAACACGATGAGGGACGCAGGATTTGTGGCGCAGTTAGTTCTTGTGCCTTACAGACTAGTAAAAGTTGATCATGTGACAATGGTCTGAGGAGTTAAGTCTGGAGGGTAGGTTAGGAATGGGGACAAAGTTTCATCAGGGACAGGGAAGAAGACATCGGACTTTGCTTCAAGAGCAAAGTATTTGATGTTAGATTTATCCCGAGACCACCAGGGAGACAGTCGGCAGGCTTCGCCTCCCAGGTAGGGAGGCTCCATTGTAGTATGGGCTATACTCTGTAGGTTGGCAAGGAATTCTCTGCTGTGATTATAGACGGCAACTGGGTCATAGTTGCCCGTGAGTGGCCAGCTAGTAGCCAGTTCATAGGAACCCACACGTTTAGACTTATCTCAGTTCTATGCATGGAGACCTTTGGATTTGGAATCATAGAACTAGAATATCTCACTTTTCAGTATCTCAGAGATATGTGGTCTCACCAGTATCTAATAAATATAGTTTTCACGTCCCTGAATAATAATCCCTTATATCCTACCTCACTCCGAGTAGAGAATGTCAATCCATTTAGTTTTCGAATAACTCAAATGACTAGAATGATAAATGAAGTAAAATTTTTGCTAAAGTTTCACCTATTGGTTTTTACTTGTCAAGCACACTTTGATCATCTACTGAAAAATATATCAAGCGCAATTCATGTGCTGGGAGTTAATAGTGAGTATCTGTCCTTACACTCATGCAGCTAAGAGCTTTTGTTTTCTTCATCTCCAAAACCACACTGAACAAGCTCAATATATTGGGGGTGGGGGGAAGATTTATGATAACATCATAAATACTTTGATTTTCATTTAAAACTCCCCAAGTTTCGGGAGGGAAGTGCACTGGACTTTGGTGATGGCACATGGGTGATTTGGTTGGTGATGGAAGCCCAAGGGATTACAACTGAGATGGAAAAATGCACAAAATGATGGAAAAATAAACTATTGAAAAGAGAAGAAAAAAAAACTCCCCAAGTTTCTTTAGTGTACACATAGCAATATTGTTTTCATTTTGTTCTACAATGTTCTTTGTGGATCTTGTTTACCATTACTTCCATAGTCCCTTCACCTGTTTTTTTTTTTCTTTCTTTCTTTTACCTTTCTCCTTGGTTCTAAACATAAATGTATGAAGTTTGCTCCCTACTTTCTCTTACTGGAATGTATGCTCCATGAAGATAGAGGTTTATTTTGCTTATTCCCTAGTGCCTTTTCGAATGTAGCAGGAAGGAGTGAATTGTTTCTACTAACTCGTGCAGAAATGGGGAGCCCCAGCAAATGTCTTCTTCCATCAGATGAACTTTGATGGAACTGTGTTATCCATCCATCCCTGAATGGATCTTTGAAGCCAAGGGGAAGAATATACTAATTGACTTATTCCTATCACCATTACAGTCTACCCTGAAGTAGGGGTGGGAGTCATTTCTGCCTATAAAACTTGGCTAAAAGTAGGAAATTTGAAGTTTCTTATAAGAAATAATGTTGTCAGGAGGAAGGGATAGTAGATGCTGGGCAAACGACCAACAAATACCCACCACATGGCTTCTCTAATCACCACATGGCTTCTACTGCACTGTTGATTAAATTGTCAACATCAAAGACTAGAGAAGGAATCAAGAATGAACAAATTAAAACAAGAAATGATGGGGTAACTAGACATGAAAATGTAGAGATTTGAATACCCTGCCACATAAATTGTAATGTCAACGGTGCTCTTTGGATTTTCTTTTTTTCTCTTTCTTTTTTCTTTTCTCCCAAAAGAAAGAGTTTTGGAGTCAAGTCTAGAAGAATATGAAAAATCACATTTTAAATGTGACCATTTGTGAGCATGAATTTTTCACAGAATCTTCTTATGGCATCTCCATCAAGATCACCAATCAGGACCTCCCTGGTGGCCGAGGGGGTAAGTCTCAGCACTACCTTCAAGAAGGATCTCAGATCCCCTTCCAGGGCACCCACCCACATGCCACAGCAGACCTCTCCTGTCTCATCCACTGCTCCCCTCAGCAGTGTATTTCAGTCAGTCCACGTACTCTGCTCCCCACTCTGTCTCTGGTGAATCCTCTCTCTGTCCCCTCCCCCCTCCACCAACCCCCAACCTCTGGCCTACACCCCAGCTCTTCTACACAAAAAACAAAATAAAAATCTTTTTTTTATTTTTAAATTTTTCTTAAAATAATCTTAGATACTGAAAAAAAGTCTCCATCCTGCTTCATAAATCTAAACCCATCATGGCCTGGAAGGACTTGTTTGCTGCCGCACTGTGATGTGGAGCTCAGTTGAACAATGTCTCTGAAAGAGAAATGAGCCCAATGTAGGAATTTGAATTATGCTGTCATCCCTTCTCTAAGTGTGTGTCGTTATTCACTTTGTTGGCCTAAAGAAGCTTAATAGAGACTGCCCTAATTTCTCAATAAAATTACCCCCATAATTTCTTGATCTACCCAAAACAACTTGAGTTTTCTAACATTTGAAGTCATTTCAGCAGGTCCTATTTCTTCTTCAAATTGAAGGTTTTCTTCTATGAAATTTTCCCTGTGTTGCTCTTTCATGGGAAAACAAGAAAGTTAATGGGAACTAAGTTCTAATTTCATACATGCACCCTAAGGAGCAGGTCACAAATATGGCCTACCATACAAGTAAATAGAAAAACTGAGACTTTCTCATCTTCACTTTTAGTACTATTTCTCTCTGTCATGTATCTACAATTATTACATATGCACCTCCATGGAAGGGGGAGGGACACTGCAGCCCAGTGAATGAATCACCATTTTCCCCTCCCCGCTTATCTTAAGTCCCAGCAAGCCATGAATAAGACTTCCTGAATGGGGTGGCAGCCAGGAAGGAGCAAGAGGGATATGTAAGTGGAAATGGAATGAAGAAGGGAGAGACACACAAGGGATATGTGAAGCAGAGTCACCTGGACAAGACAGCTTGAAGAAACCTAGTTGAGACACACGTGGGGAAGCTGATGCTGGAGAAGCTGACGCTGGGGCTCTGGTGCTTTGGCAGAGACCATCCCAGTCCTTGACTTCATAGTGTATTATGTGGTACATTTTGAATTTGGGAGGTCTTTCCTTCTGTCCCAGTGTTACAGGGTAGCCCAGAGTGGACTGGGCCGCCTGTCGGTGGGGCCTCACCAGCAAGCTCACAATTCATTTATACTGCAGACACACACAAAAGGGTCAATAATGGGTTCATTTACAAAAGGGGAAAGGAATAGGAAACAACCCAGGGAAAGAGAGCGGGATACAAAGTAACTGGAATATCTTAGGGCTAGACTGACTGAATACACCAGAGACTGACTGAATACACCGGAGTCACACGGTCAGGAGAGCTGCTTCCCAAGCGAGAGAGCCAGAGATGCAATCACGCCCTATTTATCCTCCAAATGTCCCAGAATTCCTGCTAGCTCCACCCTTGGGTCCTCGCAGTTCTCTCCCTGGTACTGCTGGGAGTTGTAGTTTCTAATCACTGGAGTAGCAGGTAGGTTCCAGAAAGCTGGAGTGGGGGTGGAGTCCATAAGACTCTGCAGGGTTCCTTTAGGACATCCTTCCCCTTAACACCAGCACTCTGGGACCTACCCAACCTCTTTTTTGTGGTATCCCACTGTAAGTCACCTTAAATTTGTGGCAAGCTGTCAAGCCTCAGTCACCCCCTTTGGCCTAAGCCTGTTTGGCTGGATGTTTGCCCATGAAGGGATGGGTAATTTTTGGAGTTTGGGAAACAGTTATTTGAAATCTTTTCTCTCTTTTTCTGTACACACCAATTCTATTATCAAATCCTTCACACTAGGGGCCTCCCTAGGGATTAAGTCTCAGCGCTATGAAGCTATAGGCAGTCACTACAGCACAAGTTCGATCCCCAGCCAAGGAGCTGACCCACTTGGCACAGCAGACCTTCCTGCTTTGCCCAATGCTCCCCTCAGCACAGTGTTTCAATCTATCCACCTCTTTTGCTCCCTACTCTGTCTCTGGTGAATCTTCTCACTACCCCACACCTCTGGCCTACACCCTAGCTCTTGTGTGCATAAATAAGGTAAATTGTAAAAAAAAACAAAAAACTTTCACACTAAAAATCTGCTTTTGTGCACATGCACAACCAGGCCCCTTTCAGAACATGCACCCTTTAATAGCTCAGTGTTCATGTATACTCTTCAGTCATGTGTTTACATAAGGAACATATAACGATGACCCATTTTATATCAATATATTGTGTTGATAAACTCATTTCCGATCTGAAGTGCTTTATAAATAAAACTACTGAGATTGACATTTATGCCTGTGAGGCTCTCAGAAGAAACTGAACATGCACAATATAATACATCAGAATGAAAAACTATTTTTGTGAATGAAATATGCTTGGGAGTAAGCACTCTCTGTTGTGAAAAGACCCAAAAACGCCTGTTAGGTGATGTTATTGTAATTGAAAAGTAAAGAGCCAACACACTCAGTACCAAACACCTTGACAAAGAATTGTCAACACCCAAAGACCAAGAAATGTCTGCAGAAAGAATATATACATGCTATCTCAAGAGGGTCATATAAAATGGAGAAGGTGTGAAAGTCTGTCATCATTCTATCTTTGAAGACACATGTGTCTCAGAGACATAACTGTCTCAGAGCCTTCTGGTCAAGAACATGCATCTGGCTCCATTGGAATGACATTGCTAAGAAGTAGGGCCTACTTTGATTAAACCAGGTATAAAACCAATGATGGAAGCTAGGAGAAAAAATAAAACAATTTTTTTTTTTAATAATCCTTGAAACAGAGAAACATATACTTGCCTGGAGGCTTAACGAACAACTGGACTAGCTCAGTGAGTTTTGAGTCACATGCTTCTGGGTTGCTTGGGTACTGTGGAAGGTTCACCACTTTTTCA